AGCAATCTGATTTCTCACGTAATCAGTTAAACTTCCCAAGCTCGAAGCCCTTTATACTCATTTAAGAAAGGAACTTTAAATATGTTGCCTCTTAAGATAAAAAATTGTTAGTTGTTAATTTAATTTGTTGTCCCTTATAAGGTTATTTATATTACCACAAAGCTACTTTGCACTACCTTAAAAGTGTAGACTCGTCTTTGCTAGATTATGAAATACTTTAAAAAATTACGTTCAATATTCCGCAAGTTTTATGTTACTGGTAATTTTCATGATTAAACCTGCAAGTTTTTTTTAATAAATTAAGAAATTATATTTAGCGAACAAATTCGGATCGAGAACTTGATGCGCTAATATTTCAAAGCGCTATGGGTGTGGATGAAAAGTATAGTATATATATCCCATTATTTTTCAAAAAGCGCGTAAGGCGCCAGGATTAAATCTCTCCCCTTTAACTCGGTGATTTCGTTATGCACCAAGTATTTTATAACATTACCGCCCAGTTTTTTTACCAGGTCTACAACAGCCTTATAATAAAAAGATATATGCGTAGAATAACTCTATAAAAAAAAAAGAAGGATGATTGTATAAGGTTGTAGAAACCTTCATAGTTCCACCAGTAGCGAGGACATTATCTATGATCACGACTTTATCTCTAGGACTGATGCTTTCGGCGTTGATTTCAAGTTAGTCGCTACCATACCCCTTGTACTCTACGCTTACAGTTGAGCCAGGTAACTTACCGGCTTCTCTGCAGAAACAAGGAAAGGTGCAGTAAAACAGGAAAAAATTTAGTGATGGCTTAGCCCCGCTAATATAGTAAACAAAATTTGAATCGGACAGGAACAAAAGCGCAGCCCAACTTAAGTGTAAGAGTAGGGCCAAATAAAAGGCCGCGTGCCTCTAAACCATCCACGGTGTCAACCTCTTAATAGGATATTATAAACAAGCTCCTAATATTCAAGTTCAATTAACTTAGTTAACTTTAAATATAAAGAAAAAAAGTTAATAACCTTTAACAAAGGGGTTTTGTGCCTTTGAGAATCCTCCAATAACGCATGTATAGGGGAAGGATTTTTAAATAAGAGGAAAATATCGAGAAACAATGTTCCTTTGGAAGGGAAAATCGAGGTATTTGACTATCATTCGCTCTACTCTATCCGAATGGGTCATGCTTACAATAGTTGCAGGGAAGTGCCTGGTTTAAGCGCGAGTTTCTGCATTACATTCATTACTCTTGTTGCCGCCATGTCACTAAATTAACCTCTAGAAGTCGTGGGACGTGTGAATGCACGGAGTATACAGAAAACGAACATTTTTTAAATGACCCTTCTGCAAACGCTTTGTAGCTCCCAAATAGGGTTGTCTTGGTACGTTCGTGTGTTTAGTCGGAAATGTAATTATGTATTCCCCATGTATTGTCTATTTACGAACACCTATTTTGTTATAGTATTTTTCGTCTACAACGGAATTTCAAGGTTACTTTGCTTGTAACTAGAGTTGGAATAATGAAGCCTTTCCAGGAAATGTACTGTACGCACCCGACAACTTATCTGGATTTTTAAAACTATTAGGTTTATTTAGTAGGAGTTACAATGGTTTTGTATTTTTGTTTAATATTAAGCCTTGAAGCTGGAGCCTTTTTTTAGTAGTAGTAATCAAAATTTTATAGTTCTTATAATATATAAAAAAGTTAATCAGAGTTAGTTTTTTATTAATTATTTATAAGTAAAAGTTAATTAGTAAAATAATTTTTCCTAGGCCCACCTACAATTTTCTATCCCGCTTCCATTGGGCACTTTTCATACAGTGATGGACACAAGGTAACCACGAAAGGTAACCACAACCAGGGTATAGTTTTCTAAATATCAACTGAGGACAAAAATTAACACATTTTTGTAAAGCTGAAAATTCTAGGGCACTTTGAAAAATAGTTGAGTTAAGAAAGAAGCGTTACCGAAAAACCTTTTCTATAACGTCGCCTAGAGGGCGGCTAATTCAAGTGAAACGAAAGCCTCTGTCCTTACGATTAGCCTTCAGAGCGAATTTAAATCCTCCTTACAAAGAACCTAATTGTACGCTCTTTTCTACCTCTTTGCCCCGTCATCTGGTGATTAGAATTATAGAGTTTCGCTAACCATAAAAATATTTTATTGATAATGAGGCCTGTCTCAATTATTTTATCTGCGGAGGTTGACCAACAAATCATAGGAGTGTGTTCGTAATGACCATTTATGTAAATCTTCCGAAACCTCAAAACTTCTACCGCAGCAAACCCTAAACCCTAGGGAGACCTGAAAAAAACCGTTATCCAATTGTTTCGTAAGGTGTAATACACCTAAAGTGCTAAGAAACTAAAGTTCCTTACAAACCTAAAAAGTAAAATTCACTTAGGTTATAATAATCAGATTTTTAAAATCCTATAACAATGATTAAATAATTTACCTAATTCTAATTTAAACAAAAAAAAATTAAAAAAATGATATATAAAACTATATTTCTTGTATATAAAAATAAGATATCCATTACAGAAGTTTAACTTTATGATGATTATGTTCAATATTACCTTTATAGGGTAATAATGAGTTTATATCACTTTCAGAATAGAATTGTAAAAATAGTTTGAAATCTTATAGTACAAAAATAGTTTTATGGAGTTTCTCTAACTATAAAAATATTTTATTGATAATGAGGCCTGTCTCAATTATTTTATCTACAGAGGTTGACTAACAAGTCATGGGGGTGGTGTGTTCGAGACCTTTTTGTAAAACATTCAAACCCTCAAAACGCCTATCCTCCTGCTCTAATTTTTTGTAAAGTTGGTTTGGTGCTCCTAGAGTTCAGTATTATCAAATAGATTTTTACAGTGCTTTTAGCTCTTGAACACATAATTATATTACGCTTAAGCCTATAATAAACCTAATTATAATATTATATACATTATTTAATAGTTATTCTTGAGGACATCCGACCTGTAAAATTAACAGTATAAACAAAATTTTCTTCTTAAACGGAAGTAGACAACACTGTTTTATCTTGAAAACTCAAAATATTATAGCTTGTTAGTAAGAAATATATATAATAATTTTCAAAAACTTACACTTATTAGTCAGTTGCTCTATTGAGGCTTGACCCTTTCTTACACACTTTAGCACAATAAACTCGAGTAGCACTACATTCGATCGCCTTCTAGACAGTCAATCTTAATTTCGCTATATTGCTAGAACAGAATAACCACATACCTAATAAACCCATTCAACTCCTTGACCTTTAGATAAAGCTCTCTTAGTAACACAGTGTAAAGGTTCCAAAGAACTACTTAGTACTCTATCGCCTCTTTGTATCTGTGTATCACTTTTAACACGCAGTCAGGTAAGAAGAGGATTCCTCGTTTAGTAAGTTCGTATCGCCTTTCTTTAATTAGCGTTTTCATATTACTAGGAAAACTCCTGCAACTTGACTTAACTGAAGGGAAAAAATGGCAACTTTAATCCGATCCGGTCAGACCATGTGACCTTTTAAAGCCTATGTAGAACCAGAGCCAGAAAATTCTACAAACCATTTTACTCTAAAAAGTACAAATACCCTAAACATTACCCTTTTTGAACCTATGCTTATAATTCATTTGTCAATTTTAAAAAACTAACGGAAGTATTAAAAAATATAAATGAACAACCCTTCGGGATGTACTGGATTTTAAACTGTCCCTCCTAGGAGTAGTCCTGAAAATAAAGGGCTATAAATTCATGGAAAACAGCTACTGGAAGGTCCCAAGCTTAATCAGGACGGAAGAGGTAATTGCAAATTATAGGTATGGAATGTAAACTTTAACGCGAGGCTCCAGGATCCCTTAGTTTATTAATTCTCCGTGAATCGCCCAAACCATTTCTAGCTAAATAACAATTTTTCAGAAAAGGTGAGAAAAAATTGCCATCATTTTTAATTTTAAGGAGGGTTCTATATAATATTCTTTTTCCCTGCAACCAAAGAAAGTTGCCCTTGGCTTTTTCCATCGAACTCAGCCCCCTTTATTCAGAATAATACTTGGTCTACTCTACTGTGCTACAAGCGCTTCGATGGACTAGCCATACGTATATATTATTTGAATTATAATAAGCACTTAATTATTAAGCACGTCGAGTTGTCACTAGTAACGTATTAACAGGGTCTTGCCTTAGCGAAGAATATCTTTAGCGAAAACAACAGTTGTAACTTTCGTGTCCATAAAATTATTCGTTATGTAATTATTTTCTTTAGTATATTTTTAATTGAAATAAATTCAGCGGGCCAGCAATGCTCTCGCACTTATCAAGTTATAGTAAGTTATGAATAGGGGGTTTTCCTTTAGTAGTGAAGGCTTAATAATATCAAGCTTAACCGCATCTTAATCAACTATTGATTCTAGTGTGTTTATCCAGAAAAATGCAAAACTTTAGAAACTATGCATAGAGCTACGGGTTTCGCAAGAAACGAGCTAGAGAACATATGGATGATACCGGGAGATCGCTAGGCTACCTGCATGGTCTGTAGATTGTGTTGGTATTATTGCTTGCTGTATTCGATTGGCTTTAGTGCTGTTTCGTTACGGAAAGTACTAAATAGTGTTATTTACCTGTATACTTATATATACCGCGCCGCTGCTCAAATTATTGCCAAGTAAAAGGACTTGAAGACAAAAATACTCCGTTCTAATTACTAAAGCCAGCTATTTAGTTCGGTCTCGTTAAGCAAAGATCCAACGCTAAGGCTTCCTTAGTTTTCGTAAAACATTAGGCTTAGTCTTAATAAATATGACTACTTTGTACTGGTTACTGACACAGTAATGGTGGCTAATTCTCTATTTTAGTGAAATTTTCTAGTAATAATGACAAACCTTTGTGAATTTTAGCGCTTTTACCTACCCTATAATTTAATTTAATTCTAACAGATTTAGACAAGTTTTTGGGTATTCTTATGGTTAAAAGCATTCAACTATAAAAATATGAAAAATATATAAATTGTTATCACAACGTATTTAATAATTTCCGAAAAAAAATGAATGAAAGCCATAAGCAAATATACGCATTGAAATACAATTTTGCGCAACCACTTTCTACTTTTGTTTCCTGAATTATTACTTTTGGAAAAACAAACTGAGCATGTCTCCTCTCGCTAACGTACGACTCCGAGGAAACAAACTCGCACAATCCTCTATAAAAGTTGTTGTAAACAAAAGTAGTCGCTTTGAAGGTGCATCTATCGTCAGTGAACGAAAAGGCTTTTTCATAATGAACTCGTGAGCAACACTGAAAAGTTTGATCCATCGTTAACCCTCTAGTAGCCAATGAGAAGAGGCAATTAAATGATGGGACCATTTATAGCGTGCAAAGCGGTGCTTACAGCTCTCTTGGGTTGAATAAAGGATGGAAGGCGCTGGGCCCGATGGCCACGATTACATTGCTATTTAAGTACCTGCCGTTATTATATTGTTAATAAACAGAAATAAAGATCAGGGTGCACAAGTATAACCATAATATATACTAATATTAGTTTGTACTAAGCTTCAAGGAATAAGCCTTAATAAAAATAGCTCCACTAGAACTCTAATAAATCGATAATATGCAGAAACTAAATACTAATATTTTTGATATTATTGTGTAATACAATGATTTTAATTGTTTTACCTTGTAAATAGAGTAATAACACAATAATAAGTAACTAATAACAACGTATAAAAAGAGCTTTTCATAAAAATGTTAAGTACATTACGATAAAAATTGTTATAAATAAATTTTTGCAAAGTCTACTTACAAATATTTTAAAGTCTTTAGCTCTGTAAAAGCACCTGAGGAAATCGATGAAATGTGGTTGTGCGCAAGATGCCTTAAAATATTTGTGAGAAAACAAAGGAATAAAAGAACCCTCTGTGCTATAAAAACCATAGACAGTAAAAAATTCCCTTAAATATTAAACTGCTTAAATATTTAATGTAAATGAATATGTAGTTGTTTAGAGGATGTTTTAAAAAAAAAGGAAGAAAAAGGAAAACAGAAGTATTAGCTAATTTAATCTATGGTAGTTTTTTATAGTATTTTTTTAGTAAATGTGTTTTTAAAGGGCTTTATTAAATAAAAGATTGTACCAAATTCTAATCTACACTTTACCTGTTTATACTCTTCTATTACACCATTTCCTGTAGAGTTTATTATCAGCATTATTACAGTAATTATAGCTTATGTTCAATAAGAAAACACAACAAAAATATTCTATTCTACACTTTTACTTTATTTAATTCTAATCCTTCCACCTTTCCTTTTTAATCTTAATTACGAGAAGAGTGGCAGGATGATCGATACTTTTCTTAAAGGTAAACAGTGCAGGAAAAACACTTGGGATCTATATTCACTAAAAAATTGCTTATTCGTTTGGCGGGCGAAAATTTTTTTTGGCCAAAAAAAATACTTTTATAGTACAAAAATCTCAAGAATCCTTTTAGTAATGCTCACGCTTGTGTGGGGCAGTCACTTTGTCTTACTCATTATAACCTTACCTTACCTACTTCATACTTTAGTATTATTAGTTACGTACACACTCATCTATACGTTTCTCTTAAATTTACTTTCATTTATTGTATGATTGCAAACAGAATTAGCCTACTAAGTTACACAGAGTTTTAATTATTAATTCTTTAGCAAAGTAAAAGGTGAATTAAACTGTAATAATTGCAATCACTTACAAAATTTCAATTCTAATAAGCCCTTGAAATAGATTTTTTCCGATCGAGGTGAGCCCGTTTCTTTCTAAATTCCTGTAAACAAAATAAATTGTAAAATTTTAATAAATGTCTACAGTAAAGTTTTTCTTAAAAAAGTTTTGTAAAATAAAAAAATAAAAAAAAAACATGAAGGTACTACTAACAAAGATTTTAGTGCTGGCAACCAAGAAAATGCACTGTCCTCAATAGAGCTTATGCTATTCCGACTAAGATCTCTAAAGCAATCAAAGTTTGTCAGGGCTACACAATTTATTTATTAGAAGAAAAGTGCATAACCATAATAACTTATTTTTTCCTCTTCATGATGCGTAAATAGTAAAAAAAAAAAATCTATACTACAGAAAAAGTTAAATTATTAGAAAATAACTTACAAATATTGAAGACTATCAAGGTTGCTAAAGGAAATATTGCTTATGAGAGTAAGTTGATTATTTTTTAAAGATCTTTTTAAAAAAAACGGTAACTATTAAAATATAATAATAGAAATATTATAATTCATCTTTGAATTTACATGAGCAAGTCAACATAAATAAGGTATGTGTAACAAGTTTTAAAATATGAATAGTAAGCTTTTAAAGATAAACCAAAATACATTAGTAACTGTTAATATATAAATTGATATATAAAACTAACAAAATTGCCAAATGGTGCAAGTTGGCAAAAGTTCCTTCATTGATGGAAGTAATAACGTTTTTTATAAGATATCTTAGTAAAAATTTCTAAGTGTGAGTTCAAAGTATTTCAAGTGTAAAGTAAGCTTATAAAAAATATATATAGTCTTTTAAACGGCTCAATTTAAAATGATCTAATAATAAAACTGATTTAATAATATATAGATAATTCTTAAGCAAATGCAATTTTTTAAATATTCACTTTTGTTTAGTAAGTTAAACGCAGGTTTTTCATAAACATTAAATTTTAGTATTATAGTAACTCATTAGAATAGAAATCAGACTTACAACTCATTTAGTGAAGTAAGGCCTTTAAATGTCTTATGATCGAGAGAGCTTATGCGATTATCGTTAAGATTTCTAAAGTTAAACCGACAATAATTATTTTATAGAGCACCAAAGTAAAATAAGCTCGTCATACATGGAAGTTAAGTCTGGTGAAATTTTTTTTTCCGTAGGAGGAAAGGAAAGCAAAGAACAACCAAACAGATCTCTATATTATAAGTTACAATTCACTAACTTCCATAAAGAAAATGATCCTTTGTAAATTAGATAAAAGATGACCCTTTAGCCAATTAGTCATCAATGTCACTTATCATAAAATAGAAGAAATCACCCAACTTCCTATAATCTTAGGTGTTTTAATACCGACATTTACCTGCCCTAGACAAACAACAAATGGAGGACTTACAAAGAATAGGGCATATCCAGCTTCTGACATTTACTCTCTTGCCCAAGGATAACCCTCACCAGCAGCATTAGGATTACATAATTCATGTTACAAAGGTCGCAGCTAGTTGAGTTAGTAAAATTATCTGTTTTTACCACGACTCTAGAAAAATTAACTTTAATTTCCTTTAACTTAAAAAATCTTCTTTATATACCCTCTTAACCACAAATTAACGTTAATTAGCTTAAATAAGAATTGTGGTTACTAAAAGTTGACAGACTACTGGTAGCGTTAAATTTTTTACCAGTACATAAGGGAAACGCTACCTTTAATGGACTGGACAATACCACTTAATATTTAGAGCTCTAACACAACGTTATTTCAATCTATGTTAATACTGGGGCCAATGTGAATATATTTAAAAAAGTGTATGTAAAATAAATTAACCACAGTGTTTATATTATTGTTTTTAAAAATGGTCTCCCTTATGTTAAGTACATAGATTCATTTGCCTAAATTACTTAATCATATAATATGTTCACATACTTAGAGGTTGCTATTAATTAATCTTTTATGTTCGTTTATACTGTATAGCGCAGTCGCAATACAGCATGCGGAGCTAAATCAAAACTATATTGTTTAGACAAAGTTTTCTTAATATGTTTAAAATTTTCCTTTGGAGCTATCATGCTTTACGGATTCGCACGCCCCCTAGAAGTAAGCTCTTTGTAGAAACTATTCTTTAGGTAGTTAGTAACCGCAAAAAACTCAACTCTCTAGGGGCCGAAACAGTACATCAAACGTATCCTCTAACCAATCAAGTCAGCCCCATAGACTAAACGCACGCTTCTAAACAAAAGAACAAAATTTTGTTATTCATTAAGGATAAAATGAGTATATATACAGTTTCAAATAATCTAAATAAAACCAGTTAAAATTAATTAAATCGCAAGGCGTTTACTCTTCGATTGCGGAAAATCTTTCTTATTTAACTGCGTACTGACAGTGGATCATACCAAAAAAATTCTTGATACAAGACTTATTTTTAACGGCTAAGCGCTCCAAAAGTCTGTATTAATTTAACCATCTCGACCATCAGAAAACATTAACTTTAAAAATTAAAAAAAATAATAACTCGATAAACTGTTTTCCTTTATTATATTTGCTATTTTTTTTGTTCGCGTCATAGTTGTTATTATAGGGGAGAAGTGAGGAAATATCAGCTCGATTAAAAAATTATCCATGCAAAGTTTGGCTTTTAGGAGCTTTCTTTAAGTAAAAGTAATCTATAATATAATTTAAAGTAGTAACGAAGCAAATCTAGTTATAAGATCTATAAGGCAAGGGCACTACCATTACCTCTTATAGCACTTCGCTTAACTTTGTGGTTTAAAGGAAAATCTGACAAGCCGTAACTAAACAGTGCCAAATCTTTATTATTATTATTATTATTATAATTACTTTATAATTATTATTACTATAAAATTATCTGAGGACTTTATAAGGAAACTTCATTTGTATCCAAACACAGTCTGCACAAGTGCTCATCCTCCTAGCACAGTAATAAGTCTATCGCGGAGATCACTTGCAGAAATAAGATGTACGCCTTAAGATACTCAAAATTTTACAAAAAATTCATATAGAAAAATATTTACTTTACTAAATATCTATAAAAAAAAAAACTTTTAATTATCTAAAATATTGGGATCTTCTCAGAAAAACAGATTTAAAAGGATGCTAACTTTTCAATAATTAAAGCCTCTTTTTGTTGGTGTTTCAAAAAATTAGAAAGAATTTTTAATTCAAGGATTAGAGTAGCATATAAAAGATCTACGAATTATAAAAAATCTATGCTTAAATAATAAATACATGTAGTGCTTCTTTACTTTAATTTCTTTTCGAAAGTCATGAATTAAGTCACTTATTTAGCTATTTTATAAAAACGTATTGTTTCTAACTTTTTTCGAGTATAATAGGGGGATAGCTATTGAATATGGTCACTGAACTGTGAATTTAATAAGGGGATATAGAATATCAATTTTTTTTGATGTGTGATTGCCTTGTAGCAATGCGCGTACGTACTTAAAAGTCAATGTTGTCCGTTAAGCCTGACATGTGGTGTACATGTAAAATACTCCCTTGACTTTTATATCAAAATCCCTAAGCACTGTACAAGTAGAAAATATTTTGTCTCCTCTGAATTGATAAAGCTTTTTTCTGGGATTTCGCACTCACTAACGCAACACCGCTTCTAGCCTCTCTTATTACGTCAAACACCTTGAATATTACTTATATTTATTAACTCTCCTTACTGCTGGAACTCTTCATCTCTAATAAGCTCTAATGTTTAAAAAATTCCCAGATTAAGCAGCTTTTCGAACCTTCTTTTTAACACTAAATTCAAATCATAAAACACCAAAGGAAAACCATAAAAAGAAACATAAACACAAAAATAAATAGTATAATACATTAATTTAAACACACTAACCATAAAACAACGCAAAACACGGATTACCCAAAAACCAATTAGTAAAATTACAGAAACGGATATTATGTACTGCAACCAATAATTTGGCCTACTTTATTAATTGGATACAACGAAACCAAGTAAAAATTTTTTAACTGGTATAATTAAATTATTATACAAATATAAAAGCGTTTACTTCTTGCTTTCTTCATTTTCTTTACAATTTGGTGTTCTATGCAATAATATTATTTCACTACGTTACACTTTAATATATATTTTAATTAACTCATATGTAATATACGTTTTTCTACAAATAGACAGTATATTTCCTTCTAATAAATGCCTTATAGTAGGAAGTACTCGCAGGATATTAGATGCGGTTTAAAGGATTTTGGACTTTTAAAAAAAAAGTCTATCCTTTTATTTTGTGGCGTTTGAACTCTTGAAAAATCCTTCACTACCTTGCAGTGTCTACATTCTTGTAACTATAAAAAAAACTTTGTTTTTAGATAAATACCCAACCTATGTAAAAAAATAAATAAAAATTGTCAAGTTAATTGTGTCGACCATTTTGAGAAAGTTTACTAATTATAAGCTTACAATGGTTCACAAGATAACTACTAGTTTAACCAATATTTTTTTAAAATATATATTAGTTATTTATTAATTTGTGTAAATGGTTTTTTTTTGGAGGATTCGTAAGAAAGTTATTTGCATTTGGCTTTATAAAATTAGAAAAGTCACAAAAAAAAAAAAAGTAGTTTTTATTTGAACAAAAAACTTCACCTCCAATTACAATCCTAAACTTTTCTCGGGTATAACAGGAGTGTTGCAATTGAAGAATAGTATTCACTGTATAAAGATTGCTACTATGCCTCTGTAACGTTTAATTATAATTATTGTCTTTTGTATATTTGGCTTTTTGCTACTTTAGTTTTATAAACCTACCCCACTAATTACAAGACTGAATGTTTGTTTTTCTGGTAAAAAACCAGAATTAATACATTATATAGAAGAGTTAGAGGGAAGAAAAGGAACTTATTTTATTAAAAAAAAACCACTATTTGTTTAAGTTAAAGTTCATTGTTAAAAATAGTAATAAATAATTTATAAAAAAAATTTAATAGTAAGTGCCAGCTTAACTAAGCCTGCCTTTAGGCTTTTTAAAAGTTAAAAGTTAGGAACCAAATTAAACGACTACTGAAAGCCACCGAGCGCCCACAAAAGTTAACAAGAAAATTACCTATTCAAATTGGAAAACACCAACGTTAAGCAGTCTATGCTTGAAGAGAACAAGCATCTATAAAGAACTGTAAACAAAAAAATTACATATTTAGTTTGAAACACTATTATCAACTTTAATCAATCTATGTTCTAGGAGAACGAGCGACTATAAAGGCTTAAATCTATCTAGGACGTCTAAAAAACGGTTATAACTTAATAAAATAACTTCGATAGAAATAAAAAGGCTAACTCCTATGTTGCAACAAACTCCTTTATAATAATATATATACGCTGCAATAATTTCCTGTTCTTTTTTTTTTAAGTATTCTCGTTTACCTGGTCCCTTCTCAAAAGTAGGTATATACTTTTTAAGGTCAACTAAAACTATCTTTAAACATTTTCTTATTCCCACTTTTAATTTTTTCTTATTCATTTTTAAAAATCCAAGTAGGTTCAAAAAAGAAAAAGTAGAAGATATGACATTACTTTTTAGTAGCAATGCAACTTTAGCAGCTCTTGCCGGTTTCCTCGCAGCTTTGACTGGTGTATTAAGCAAACTGGTTTGGTTATTATCATGATTACATAACTTTATATTTTCTTGTTTTCTATTAGTTTAGGTTTATTATATATTTTTTTATAAAGTTTCTTGAAGAAGTATTATTTCCACTCATCAATCTAAAGCTTTTTGGGAACAACCTGAGCAATTCACACATTGTTTAAGCACTACTTTCTATAAATATAATATTTTTTATGTCATAAATTTATAAGGTGTTAAAAATTGTTTACTGTCTTACTTTTGGCCTCTCACTTTTGTTGAACGGTTTCATGTGGTCCCTTTACTCTAAATCGTTGGCAAAAAGTGCTAATTCTTTAGAACCCTTTATTATAAACTTCTCGGTCAACTTTCTTATAACAGTTAATTCTTTTTATATAAGCAATTTACTTATGAAATCTAACAAATTCTTCTGTTGCAATCACTTAGTCTCTTTTCGGATGGCTCTTTTATGGAGAGCTCCTTCCTTGTTTATGGTGGTTTGGTGCACTTGTTTTGTTTTCCGGTTTAGCCCTAGTTGCATCCGAAAGTCGAACTAACAAAAGGCTTTAATTAAAACATAACATAACTTGCCTTATTAATAGTATTAATTATTACTTTTCCAGCACTCAAAAGATCATGACTTTAACTCAACTAAAAAATTATACACCTATAATAAAGAAACAGTCATCCAGCATGATAAAGCGCAAGTTTTATTTTTGACAAATTTTATTATTCTGAGCCAATTCAAATTTTCCATAACAAATAACGTACAGCGTAAGGTGTATATCCAAGTTAAAGCACTCAGTTGAAAAAGAAAATTTTGCCGGATGACGCATAAACTTTTTGTCTAAAAATGAACTAAGCATGGTAACTATATCAGTAGATTAAACGTATTCTAAATTAAATTAAATCAAGAGAAGTTTGATTTTTTTGAAATTTTACTCCTGTTTATAATTTACTGCCAAAAAAAGCTTTATTAATAGCAATCTTGAACATCAGGGTGCGTCTAAGTTAAAGTACGCTCATACAAAATAAAAGAAACCAACATTAATCTTTCAATTTATAAATAAGTTTTCTAGCTGCCCAAAATCCCTTAACGTAAACTGAACAATCTGATTACAATAACTACATTTACAAATAAACTTTAAATACATGAAGCCCGCATGCATCGTATCCTCTATCAAAAGGTTACGCGAGTGTTTTTCTTGAAAACAAGTGATTTATAGTAGCTAGTAGCAGTTTAACAGTTTAATAAGAAGGTAAACAAAAAACTCATAAGGATATAAAAGGAAAGAAGTTGGTTGAGGTAAAAACCAGTTACACGATTTATTTATAAATGACAGTTCCAGGTGCTCGATCGAGTCAAAAAATTCGAATACCCAAGCTCTCAACCAAAAGTGATCACAGACACGATACGTAACAGCTTTCAATCGAAAAGGTTACCCCTTTGACTTTTAATCTTTATATATATATTTTACGAAAGTAAACAAAAGATAATGCAAAATTCGAAGTTTAACTAATCACTAAGACATCCTTATGTTTATGTTTTAAATATTGTCAATTAAGTAAATTTTAAACTTGATATTGGCTGGCGAAAAATTTATTAGTTGAAGTTTTTATATTACAGTTCCAGGTGTTTCCTGCCACATTACACACAGAAGCGTCTGCGCTGCGAAAGGAATATCAAAATTTTTTTATGCACTTTTAAAGAAGCGTAGACTATGACGGCCTGGAAACATTCAGGGTATGAAAGGCTACTTATCGTGTGAGGACCTCGTGCTTTTGGCTCACATCAGCTGGTGGAGCGCCGGTATTGTAGCGTTCAGTATGCGCTTTATGGTCTCCACGATAGTTATTTTTTGTTAATTATTATTTTAAATTTTTTCTCTTGGTGCTCCTAAGGGCCTCCTAGTTTTAGAAGTGGTTTATGCAATTAAGGATTGTCTTTCTGAGGGCACAGTTCCAATTAATCATATAAGGGATGTCTGATGAAAAGCTTATAGTTATAGCTGATGAAAGGAGGTCACTTAATAAATTTTTACACTTGCGTGAGGTTGGGCCCTAATATAGTACCCCCCTGCAAAATTACCATGACTTTTTAGAACCCAGAGGAGTCGGGGCTTACGAAGCTCAAAAGCGAGCCACCTGTTTTACGAAATTTAAGAATGTCCCTTTCAAATCATGCGGACTTACATATACCCAAACGGCTAAAAATATATGATAACTCTACTACCAAGAGAGGGGGGTAAATAAAACTAATACGAAAAACTTAAAAAAAGAAAATATTAGCTATACAACTAATATACAACTAATATTTCTCTTTGTTTATTTTGCCGGGGTTGCAACATATCACATTATTCGGAATATATAGTTTGACTGTGAATTATATTTATTAAATTACCTATAATAAAATGCATTTAAGTTGCATTGGATGTAAAATTTTGTTATACGTTATTAGAGGCGGCACCCCAATCCTTATTAATATTTTTTAAATTTGTTGATAGTTTCTTTCTTTTTGCGATTTGTTTTTGTCAGTGTTTATAAGGAAGTGAGCTTTGTGCTACTCCTGCCGCTCGACAGCAATCAAGTAAATTATTTAAGCTCTTTTTAAATTTAAATAACCTATATTATATTTATTTGTTACAAAATATAATATATCACTCTCGTTTATATACATTAGTTCTTGAATCAAGTCTGTAAGAGTTACAGAAGAAAGAATGGCGTTTTCTCTTTAATATGTTTCGTAGAGTTAACCACCAACCCCCTTCACGACCTCACTTCGCCAGCACTTTAAATAACGCTATAAATGCTACCATATTAAATAAAGGTTCTATAACAACGCAAGGCTGATCGTATGGTCAGCTTGAACATATCGGATTTTGGGAATCAGGTTGTCATGCACATAGTGCGAACTGTAAAGCTGACAGGAGATTGCTCTACGAGATTCCCGCGCCGAGCGAGAGTAGTAATACCAGTAAGGTTGTTAAATTAAAGCACTGCTTAGCACTATGCGGCCGCGTTATGGCATTTTAAAGTTCATTAAACGCTCAAAGAAATATTGATATATGTCTTAACTGGGGAGCAGACAATCGGGGAGACCTTCTTTCTTAGTCGTATCTCTAGACCAAATGGTAAGTACCCTAACCCATGCTTTTTTTAGCTATCCCTTAGTCTTTTGAAATAGCTGTAATATTTTTTTTAAAAAAATTAATGGACGTTCATAACCACAATAGTTGGGAACATGGCTTAAATTTAACAGTTCTTTAAAATTTTTTAAACGAAAAATAGATGCTAGTGAGGTGTGCACAATAATGACTAATTGTAAATTTTTATTATTATTATCAAAGGTCAGCTTTTCTTACATATATAATAAATTCTTTTAATACGTAGAGCCCTGATTTAAATTTTACACCCCTAATAATTTTGTCAAGGCTTCCACTTTGCATTTTAAAGCATACCAGTATATAATTAAGTGCACTTGAAAAGTGAATCATAATTAAAAAAAAGTTGTTAGTTAACACTAGGCTTATGAACATAGCAGATGGTTTACTTGTTTATTTGTATTAAAATGTTTTTATTAAGGGTGCATAAACCTTAATCAAATATATTTTACAAGTTTAAGTATATTACATACTTTTTTATTGCCTTTAAGTATTATTGTATGCAAAACTAGTTACGTGAGCACACTTTTTTAAAAGCGCTTTAAACTTGCCTCACTTGTTAATTTTTTTATTTTTTAATAGACTAAAAAGAAATTTATACATCCTAAAGTTAAAACTTAGAGGAAAGTCTTATCCTATTAATTAGTTTATAAAATATGTTATTTTATATTATTTTTAATAGTTTGATAAAGCCATTCATTACTTTAAAAATTATTATAATGCTTCTACTTTATGAGGTTATCCAGTAGTCCTCTTTTATATGTCATTAATTCAATAAAAAAAAATTACTCCTTTTAAAATCATAGTTTTAAGAGAAAAAACCATGTAAAAGTTGTAAACTCGCTATAACTTAAAGGATATAAGGCCCTTATTAAAAAATAAGAAAATGTCTGCCACTTTGCTTATTAATATCATAAAAAACACTATAAAATTAGTTATGCAATTCCTAAGAGCTAAGTCACCATAACTTCATTAAGATATTTTTAATTAGGCCGTCAAAAATAAATAAATTTATCTAGAGTTACATATATATTTGACTTGTTGAAGCAAAGGACAACAGAAGCACCTCACTGACTGTCATTCTCTCCCATCTCGTATGTTTTTATATCTTAAAATTTAAAGATTTAATAACTTTTAATTCATTATTATTAGTTTATCTTTAAGCTATTTCCTCATTCAATTCTTTGTGCAATTAGTATATTAACAACGTTAAAGGCTCATATATTCACCCGCGTTTGTATAAGTGAACTCTAAAGTTTTCATTTCAGGAAATAAAAAAAAAGAAGAGGCTTTACTAAGCACAGATGTACTTTTTTGAAGTTAGTAATTACAAAGAGCTAAAGTCTCTGTTGAGCTTCAGTCTGGTTTCTAAAAACATTAGCTCCCCAAGAGCGAAGACTGAAAGCGCAAGTCGGGTTAAGAAAGATTTAATTTACAATTTTTATTTGTAATAAATAATTATATTATAGCTGGAAAGAGTTTTACTTCAGAATTAACCGCCCACCTCTTTTTTAAATATATTGAAACCGTACTCAAAATTTATATGGTGTTAGTTTAATATACCTATTAATTGGTAAATGTGACCTTTGTAATGTATACGATTAAACTCTTAGGCAAAACATTACTCTTGACATAGGTCATAAGAAATTTGGTTGCAGCACGCACTATATTACCCATTTATATCTAAAACATTTTTCCAAAGCTTCTTATATTTAGTATCAACTCTCTTATTTTTTTGTAACAAATTTTATTATTAAAACGAGTAATATTTAAGATTTGTGAAGTTGGAAACTAATTTTATTGAGAAAAGTTCAAAAAGAAATGAAAGGAATATTCTTTTATAACTAATAAAATTCTTAGAAAGACAGTTTGTACTTCGTAGTTAACGTGTAGGGAGTCGAGCACAACTAGTTAGATATTTGCTACATAATTATACTGTTATCCTTACCAACTCGCTTTATAATGTTGCATAAATGAGTATATATTTTTTGTTTTATATTAGTTATTAATTAAAAAATTTAATGGAACCCAGATTTAAGGCAATCTGTAGAGCAACCTTTTTATTATTTAGGAACAGGTAACCTTACTTCCTTCGTGACCCTCGTTAGCTGTGTTGTGAGCTTCATAAAGTTTATAATTGAAAAAGTTAGATTATGCTTGTGAAATTTTTAAAATTAAAAAAAAGCAATAAATATATATTTATAGTATGAATTCAAGAGTTATTTCTAGTACTTTAAACTTTTTTGCCGTATATTATGTGCTCTCTCAACTTTTATCCATCAATTGTGGAAAAGTAAAGTAGCTGTTATAAACTTAATTTTTATGTATATATTTTTACTACAGGAGTATTCTCATCCAGCATAAGAATGCAAGCTTACCTTACAATTATATTAATGTTTTTTATCTATTTATGCGAATTAACTTATTAGTTACATAGTGAAATATTCATTTTATTTTATTAATTCGAAGTTTTCAAGTCTATTTTAAAGAAGGTTATTCCATCAAAAAATATTGTTGCAGTTTGCAATGATACGATGTTAGTTTAAAAAGGGGCTTAAGTTGGTTTAGCGGTGAAGTGCTCTATCATAAACTATAATTGGTAAGACTTGATAAGTCATTTTACATGTCTTAGTAAAAGTAATTTAGATTTATTTGCAAACAAGAAATATATACGCTTTAATATATCAATTCTTCCATTATTAAACCACCAAATTGCAATTTTAGTAGACTGCCAAAAAAAATTATTCTTAAATAAGCGAATTTCTGAGTGACACCTATTGACTTTATTTAACTAGAAGTGTTTAATAATTTGTATAATCAGTAATGATTTAAAATTCCAAAGCCACTTGTAATCTTTAGTGTTAACGTAGTTTACTATGCTAAACACATTATAATTTTATTATTATTATTGCTTATCTTTGTGCCGTTTTCCAGTTGGGTGCAACGTAATATTTCGCATTCATCATAGGTGAGAGAAAGAGAAGTCCTCTAATTGAATCCGCCAACCTTAAAAATACAAATATATTTTTTTTACTTAAAAATTTTATATAAAATATAAATTAATTGTAAGGATATTTCGTTTATATAAAATAATTATAAATCATAAGTTAAAAGTTGAAAAGAAATATAGAGAAATACCCATTTAAAACTATTAAATTTTAACTAACTTTCTATTTATTACTTATAAATTTAGTTTAATCCAAAGTTTAGGATTGCATCACTTGTTAATGAAATTCTTAAATTTTTTGATACTATATTGTATCATATTAACTAAGTTTACTTGAAACATTTTATCATATAGAAATCATAACATTATACATACAAACTTAATAAAAAAAATTTAATAAAGTTTCAATATTTAGTTATCATGTTATTTATATAAAAAATATAATTATTTAAAAGATTTAGTAAAACTATATTAGCAGAAAACTTAGTTTTCAACTAAAAAATTAATGATTATTAAATTATTAATTATAAAGAACAAATTAATTTAAAAAAAAATTAATTTTTTTTAATTAATAATATAAAAACTTTTATAAGAGAAGGAAATTATCGTTGACAAAACTTTCTGAACCAACTTTGGTAATAATAATTTTTAGCATATTCTTTATTTTTACTTTATAAGGTACTATAAGAATATTTTGTTATAATTATATTATTTAATAAACTTTTCATATATTCCAAAACTAAAATTCAGCCTAAAATTTAAACTAAACTATAACAAAAAAGCAAGTTATAGCATAAGTTATTAATAGTATATAGCGAATTTGGAAGTGCTTAGTTAGTATAAGTTATTTATTTTCGCTTCTTAGAATTTTTCTTTTTTTTTTTACTAACTATTACTATCAATAAATATTAACTTATTTTATAATTTTATAAATTTTTTTACTTAGAGATATTTATTTTTTTCAGTAGGTTAAACTTTTTTTTTCAGTTAACTATTTATAAAATTTTCAGTACATACTTACCTTTACTACTGCTCATAGTTAAAAAAAAAATTATTATTCTAAATATGTTTTATATTTTAAAAATGGATACGCTGGCTCCACCAATTTACTTTTTTATTGTACTTTTTTAAAAAAAATACTCTGAAATCGTTCTTTATAAAACTTTCAAGTTTATTTTCTAACTTTTACTTTTACGTATAAAAATAAAATATAATTTTATTATCATTATACGTTCATAAACTTTTTTCTAGATTTTTATTATCTCTAATTTACCAAAGGTTTGTTTGTATATTGAATTATATTATAGATTTTATAAATTTATTTTTACTTTCTTCAACTTTTAAAAAAAGTTATAAAAAGATTATGTTTATAATTTAATAAATTTTCATATTTAAATAAAATGAATTATAATAAATTTTTGCACTATTTAATAAATATAATTTATCTGTTTTTAAAGTATTATATATACTCATATTTAAATTTTTTAAATTATAAATATTTATTTGTATATAATTATTGAAGCTAAATATAATGTTGAAGTTTACAATAAAATAATTTTTTTTCCTAACATTTAATTAATATCAAAGCACATTTCTTATAAAACTACAACGAGTCATATTAGTGTAATTATTATGATATTAAACATTTAATAAAAATGTAAACAATCTCGTTCAAGATAATATACTTTTCAGCAATCATAATCGTTGGCGCATTTAAATTTCCGCTTATAATGCTCGGCATAATACTCGCATCAACAACTTTTTATATATTCATATAAGCTGTTAAGTAGTGTTTTATTCAAAAAAGTTGTGTAATATATAAATATAAAATTTACAAAAATAATAATAAATAATATTTTATAAAACTTAAAAAAACAAATAATACATAAATTAATAAAAAATAAAAATAAAATTTTTTCTTAAAATTTCATATATAAATTTAGTAAGTGTATGGGCTAATTACAAAATTTTATCATAGATTTTCTTTAATTCTTACGGCACTTATTTCTTTTATTATTTCTATATGTATTCTTGCTAGCTTCAATTAATATAAACTTTTAAATTAAAGAAAATTTTTCAAAAACTTTTTTTTAAAAAGCTATACTGTACGATGTACTTAGAATTTAGTTGTTCCCGCTCGCATGGGACCCTTAAACCTGATCTTAACTCCAACCCCTTAACCCTAATTCTAATGTATACTCCTCATATAACTTTTCTTGAAAGTAATATTACATTTTATATAAACCTCAACTTATAATAAAAAAAAGCTTATAAAAACTTGAAGACAAATAAATACATTTTTATTAAAATACCCCTTAAATTTTCGACACCGAAAAGCGACCGTTCTCATCAACTACTTTACCCATTGCACAACTGCAAGATAAGTGATACCTTCCAAAAGTAATATAACTAATTTTAGAAGTATATTTATTTTCTATTACTAACGCTGAATGCATAGAATTTCTGAGCCGCTCATTTAATTGTTGGTCACTGTTAATATCTATAAAAAAATAATGTATGACTCATAAATATTTAAAAGTAAGTTGACTGTGAATAAAATTTTATAAGAAAAACTATTAGAGATGAATGTTATGAGTTTTGTAAAGTTAGCCGTTCCTATATCAGAAGCAGGTTGAAGTAGCTCTCCGCGGTAGGCATCCATTGCCTTAATAAAATTTTCTAAATCCCTAAATATAATTACTTTCTATAATTATACTTTTTGGTCCACAATCTCTTAAGTCAAGCGTAGGGCATCTCGAAATCGTCGTACGTCATCCGCGTGAGCTAAATAATTTGGATCAATATTGGGGTTTTCCAGTGGGTTTGAAGATTTCAAGGTGATGGCCCCTTTTAAAATTGGTCGGCACGTTCCTATGTGAATCTAAAGGTTTTTGCATTAGTTAGAAAGAAACTGTGCCTAAAAAATCTGCTAGCGACGTTTATTTAGAGTTATAAAATATAAATAAATAATAAACTACTTTTCTTATAAATTTAATTAATATTCAGTTTAAAAGCTTTTATTTTGTTTTAAGTATATGTATATTAATAAAATATATTTTTGTGTGCTTCAATAAAAGTATCAAAATCTGTAACGTGTAATATTAATTAATTTATTATAAACAAGTGCTAAATTACTGTATCAAAGCAGCGTAAAATAAAGATTCTACTAAATTTACTATATATTGAAGTTTTCTAAACAATTTTATATCATTGCGTTAATAAAAAAAAAAGGATAAGAAGATATTAACTATAAGAACTACTTGAAATCCATGAATGGGTAAAACATTCAGCTGGCCAATGACACATCCTGGAATAAAATGAAACTGCAAATCAGGGTGCTCTTCTTCTGGACGCGTGCGTATGAACCCTCCACTTTCGAATTGATTTGAAGCACACGGCCCTATTCCCTTCAAAAACCACTAAACATAATTATTTAAAAGTTTCTTTTAAAGTTTCTTTATATATACAAGCCTCAAGTCCAGCGAGGACTTTTAAGTGAGGATACCTAATAAATTTTTATAATACACATAATACTATTATATTTCATTGAAGCAGACCTCCATGTTGCCAATGGATAAAAAGATAACAGTTTATTACACCGATACTGTAAGTAAACATCAGAATGATCCTGAAGATTTTTTCCTACCCATTCAGAGTGATGTAAAACCTACAATAATGAGCAATAAAAGTTTAGTCTATAATTGTATAATATAATTTTATATAATTCATAAAGTTTACATCAATGCCATGCTTTTTGAGTTCCTCTTCAGGGCCAATGCCAGACAGCATTAAAGCTGTAATGCAATATAATTATTAGTTAAAGTAACTAAGTGAGCTAATACCCTTAACCTCCTAACCTTAACCTAACCCTTAACCCTATATTAAATGTAGTTTCAACTAAACTCAACAAGACGCCTTGATTGGTGATTATTTAACAATAAAAACTTACTATTATTTCATTGATTATAAAATATGAAAAATAATAGTTTATAATTATCATTATCTTTTTATAATAATATTTAAAAAGTATTTAATGTTAGTACTATTATTTTTATTAAAAAAAGATATTGTTTATATATAAATTTGTATATTATTGTTCATTATAATATTAAATAAAATTATAATAATCATTATTATTAGAATAATAACTTATAATTATTAACAAACAAAAGGTAATATATTATTGTTGTTATTATTATTTATATAATTTATATATAAAAAATATTTTATTATAATAATTAAAATTAAAAAAATTAATATTAATACATAAAATTAAAAAAAATAAAATTAATAATTTTATTATTATATCTAATTGTATATCCCTTATTATTTAATCATTACGTAAATTTTAGTTTTTTTTTAATCAAAGTATAAAATCTACTACACCTCAAACTACAACATTGACCGAAAGTATAATAATAGAGCGAATATATTTAATATAAACAACAAAATTCAATAGTAGAGCGGGCGCATAAACAAATTATTTATTAAAATATTTAAAATACTAATAACGTTTAAGTATTGTTGCCAATTAATATGGTTTATCTAATATTAGACATAAAATTTAATTTCTTATTAAATATAAATAAATTATTTATTTTTTAAAAATTTATAAACATGTATTATCTTTACTGGTTCGTACATACATGAATAATATTAGATACGTCGGACCTGAAAACTCTTCCAACGAATTAGATGCACTTAACTAGGGGTGCGTTCTCTTTTATAAAAGGTCATGTACGGGCTTAGGAACCGCGGAAATACGATGCTTTACAAAAATAAACTTGATCTAAATACCTGTTTTGAAAGTCAATTTATAACTTTTCACAATTATTCATAAAATTGTCTACTTTGATATCCTTGCATACTTTTTGTTTAATTTAATAATCAAAGTCTTTCTTAGTTTTTGTTACTGTTATAGAGTGAAAAGTATTAATATTAAAAATGGGCTTTTATCCTTCCAATGTGAGAGGACGCGGAGATAGCTTTTTTTTATTGAGTTGCGCTCCAGTAGAAGTAGTTTTTGTTTAATGATGGTAGATTTAACTATACACAATATGAATGATTAGTAAAATTGGCACTGTTTAATCATATAGATAACAGTGCTGACAACTGGATTATTTATTTAATTGTTATATATATAAAAAATTTTACATATTATTTTGCCTACTTTTTACTGTTTCGGCCAAGTCTTGCTTTTTAAGCTATTATGAGATTCTTTGCTTGTGCGTTAGCAACCCTTCTAGGAAAAAATGTCCTGACTAGGGGCTTTTGCGATGAACCTCTTGATTGCTATTGCTATCCAACTCTGTAAGTAAAGTTCTTTATTTATAAACATGAAACTGAATGCATTATAAGTATCAGGTACTAACTTTGTAAGCTGTAATTTATGCGTTCCTTATAATTAACTTTCGTTGACCTTAAGAGCACAGAATTTTATTAAAGTTTTAGCGACTAACCTTTTTGTTTAAAAACAACTGCCACAGAGATTTATCGTTGTGTTCTCTAAAAGTCTTTCCTTTCAACAACAAAAGTCTTTCTCCGGAAATAAAAAAATTGTAAACTTGTCTTTTATAACTGTTATCATCCCTTTGGAGTTTGCTCTTTAAACTACTGAACTTAGTAAAAAGATACGTAATTTCTTTAGTTCTTTTGTTGTATTATATAAAATAATTTACAATAAAAGTATTATTAGCCAAACAGTTACTTTAACCACACTATATTTCTAAGCACATCTATCACTTATTAAAATGTAGGCTTCTTAAGAATAATAAACTCACCCACATTGCCCCCGATGCTTTTATTAAACTGACGTTGCTTTCTACCCTGTAAACGTTTTGCTTATCTTTTTTTTAAATAATAAGTCAGTAGTTTATATTTATCATACAGAGATTTAAGTTATAACAAACTTACATCAATAAATCGTCAACTATTATTAGAAAATATAAATCTTGAGAAATTGTAAGTGTATGCTGCTTTCCTATTTTTTATAAAAGCACAAATCTTGTGCAAACTTTTTAAGTTTGTTAAAGGATAACGTCCTCCACATCTTTATAAAGCTTTTAATTGTTGGTTTTATTTAAAGATATCTAAACGGCAATCTAATAAACTCACTTGAAGATGGTACATTTCAGAATCTTAACAAACTTAATTACTTGTAATTATTATTTATACTTTAAAATTAATTATTAAATAAACTTTATTCTTTTTATTCCCTCAAACAGTTATTGTAAAACCTACGTGAAAGAGTACATTATTAACAAACAAAAAAATTTAAAAATTAGAAAATTTGCTCCTATAAAATATAGATTCTGTTTTTTTTTCTTTTCCTTGTTTATATAGTAGCCAGTCAAGCTAGTAAAAATAAATTACGCTTACTACTTGCGGCTAGATTCCTTTTTTAAGTGTTTTAAAAAAGAACACTAGACGGTAACCCGCTTCGATCGGTGAAGAGCAACTGGTTTGAGGGTCTCTCTGGTCTTCGGAGTTTGTATGTTTATAAACTTTCTTGGCGTATACTTTATTCCTACTTCAAAAGCCTTCTTTACTTGCTTGGCTTATAGATCTTTAAGAAATATCAAAATTACTTCCGTGCCAACTCTTACCTTTCAAGAACTCTCGTCTTTGACTTTTTTGTAATTGTTATCAAAATCAGTACTGTAGTTATATAAGTTTTTTTTCATAGAGATCTTGAGTATAATAAAATAACAGTGATCGGGGTTAACGCTTTTTACAGCACTCTAGAAAGAATGTAAATAATTTTTGATTAATTATTGAAAATTTGAACATATAATATTTTTATATAACAGATTAATAAATTCTGATCCTTCTTTTCTTTGTTGCTCACGCCTTCTGTATCAGAGTAGACTTCGGTTTACTTCCCAACACTGCACTTATCTTGGAGATCTTCTCTTGTACAATAACGTTACTAGAAATTCTTGCACTTCTACGTAACCTTCTTGCTAAGAATATTATTTATAGATTAGAGTAAACAATAAGCATTTTTATTATATTATTTGTTTTAAATATAAATATTTTCGTTAGTGGTAGGCAGCGGCTGCTCAGTAGATTCTTAAGTCAATTTAAAATCTGCGATAGTTTACCACGTGTCACAATACCTCATGGTTGTATCCCGTATTTGTATATTTCGTATACCACGTGGTACTTACTGCTCACACAACTCACACATGTTAGTTTTTCTTATCTCTCTACTCCACCTTAAATCAGAAGTAACCTTTTAGGTTTCTGCACTGTCTAAAAAATTATTTATTTATTGATTACAAGCAATCTTATACTATTTGAGTTCATATCCTTCACTTAAATTTTATTTTCGGAAACAGTCATCAACTGGCGCTTACCACTTAAACTGTTTCATATCAGTTCATCGACGGTGTGTTGATTTTCTTTTAAAATTTAAGTTGACTGTATATTTTGTTATCACAACTCTTTTCTTTCAAAATATTTCATTACTTTATGAAATTTTTATTTTATGTAAAAAATATTATTATCTTTTAATAATAATAAAATAGACATGAGCAAACTTTTGCGCATTGTATTAGCCAGCATACAGCAAACTTTACTCTAGTATATGCAACGGTTTAGGGTTAGATTAAGGGTTAGGGTTAAGTTCATTTCTGTAGGCGGGAGAGAAAGCGAATTAGACCATCATTAAAGTGCCGCTGTCATGCCTCGTGTGAATTAACCGAATACCGTTAAGGCAAGGGAAATAGCACTAAGCAAGTATCCTCGGGCTATTCCCCCCCTCGCAATTTTAAGACTATGTCCTGTGCTTGCTGGTATAGTAAGTAACTCGAAAAAGATTACGTGTGTTGGCCTCATATTATATTTCTTTTATTATATGTTGGTAATAATCCTAATGAATATAATACAAGGTAGCAACTTATAGCGTTAATTAAGCTTTCTTAAATATATCCTCGGATCATATTACTGGTAACATTGTATAACAAATGTAAAAACTTAAAAAAAAAATAAAAAGTAGTTTATAAAACTTTTCACAAATAAACTTATTATTTATCGCTCTAATGTTATTTAGGAAATATATTTTTATTTTTTAAACAATTTTACTATAATTAATATTATTAGTTTTGACCAACTTACAAGATAGTCCGTTGGAAAAAAGTTTAATTTGTTTCTCACTAGTTTTTTTAATACTAACAAAAGCATTAAAGATTTTTAAATTGACAATAACAAAATATCTGGTTGCTTTACTACAAAAACCGTGAATATAAAATCTTTAAAACATAAAAAGGAAAGTTTTCAATTAAAATAGGTAAGGTTGACACTAGTAAAAAATACAGTTTCGAATCTATAATTATTTTTAATGCTTACACAATGTAGATGTACGATTAAATGGTTGCAACTTTTAAATTTTTTTAAAAACAAAGAGAGTATCGTCAAATTAATACAGGTGAGGCTGTCAAGTTAGTAACAACAGATTGGTGTTTAATTTAAAATACTGCTCACTACAATGTACATGCACGAATAATGGTTGTAATTGAGGAACTCTGATAAGACTTCTTTTCAGGAAACTTCCATACCTTCGATTACAAAAGTAAAACTTAATAGTGTTAAAAAAAAAAACAACTTTTCAGTGTTACTTTGTATAATTTTTATTGAATTTCTTTTAAGTTTACGATGAATAATGCGTCTCTTTAAATTTTTTTTAAACCAACAGTTTTCCTTGTTATGATCCTGAACTTTTGATATCAGTGGATATAATCTCTAAATAACCAGAGTAGTAAATGTGTGCCCTCAAGCTTGAAGTTGCGTGTTATTTAGAAACAAATCAATGCACGGCAATTGTAAACTAACAAAACTGTGTTATTTGCTGAAGTTAAAATAACTAATCAGTGGAATTAACTCGTTTCTCGGTGCGTAGCGTAGATTAAATTAAGTTTATTGATGTAGTTTACGAAAGCAGAAAAAACTTCCGAGAAGTTTATGTTTTATTGAATAGAGGACATTATGGAGAACACTGAGTACTCACGGTTCTTAATGTACTATAGATTTCTAAGATGCTAAGTTAGTTTATTATTGAAAAAAAACTTTTGTACGAGCAGAAGCGGGTAAATATCTCTTTCTTTTCGAGTTCTCTAAAAAAGAGTGTCAACAGTACGATGAAAATTCGCTATTCTTGCACTGTATCGCTGTAATCATCAATTTAACATTAACATTCTAACCTTAATCTAGTCACCGAAGTTACATTAAAGCTAAAATTCTAAGTGTTAAATTTTGTCCAAAAGAGTAATATTTTAAGCGGAGATGCGGAGAACTTCCACCTTAAGGTGATTACATTGAAGTTAACCGCAAAAATTCCAATTTTCTTTCTATTTTAAAGACGTTTATTACAATTTTTCTTCTTCTTTTTGAAGTTATTAAAAGATTTGGAATTTTCTACCACCCAGTTCTCTTTTTTTTCTCATATTATAAAAATTATGAGCATCATGTTAGTTTCTTTAAGAAACTCCACCACTTAACTGGTAGGAAACAGTATTCTTGGGCAGTTGTAGTTTTGCATCAGATACCACATAAAGTTCGAGTGTTGAACTCTCCATTATATATTTTTACCTAGAGATATTTGGTTGAATGGGTCTACCCAATTAGTATCGAACCGAACAGAAATTAATTAATTACTGGCATTGGAATCTTAATTTATTACAGGACACAATTCTAGACATTTAGCCCGTCCTATTACGTTAAATACCCGGAAGGAACTTCGTAACTGTAGCGCCTGGTAGTCTAGAAAAAGTATGGAAGAAGAAAAACATTTCGCTTAGTTGGACTCAAGAAGAACCCGAGCTTCCTTTTCTTTTTTTTAATGTTGTTTTGAGTATCCTATTCTATCGGTTCATCTTCTTTTTTGCGTTCTTATATATTTTACATAAAACACATATTTGTTATTCGTTTTTAATATCACTTAATTTAACAACACCAAAACCAATTTCAAAAAGTAATATTACCTATCGGACTTATGGAAAACATAGTGCAGAAGCCGAAAAATGAGAGCTCCCACGTTTCATACCGGGCTAGTTAATAAATTAAATTCGGGTACCAACTGGTCGGAAATACAGAATTACATGAGATTTATAAAGGATTTTCGATAAACTAAAGATATAAAAGATTATATGCAATCGTCGATGTTGCTGAATATTACAATAAGAAGACTTTGTTTGTACCAACTGCATGGGAGGACCTGCCAGGTTGTGTGAAACAACTCCGTGACAAGAAAATAATTGTGAGTTAGATAGAGAGCCTTAAAAAAAAATGTAGGAAAGCATGGACCAAGACTTTTTAGATGAAATATCTCGAGTGCTGAGTACCACCAAAAATTCAAACAACAGCTATTATATAAATAAATACAAAGCACTGTATTTTGTAAATAAAAAAAACTGATAAGATTTTTATTTTGGCATTAAATTAAGGAAAATTTTCTTACTTTTAATGTACAAGAATGAGCCTACATCGTAAGTCTGTAAGGAGAATGAAACAAAAAATCTTATGGATTTTATCTTGTTCTTAATGTCACTCATGGTCAAAGTCACCAGGCAGGACAACGCACAGTCTTATCTTTTAGCATGTAGAGGAAGGAAATTTGTCTAGATGTTTCGTAAAATTCTAGATAACTTCCGTTTTAGGTTTATAATACGGATTTAGACTATAATTTCATTAATTCCATTGAGGATGGTTCATATTTTTTATTTGGAACGGAGTCTGTTAAGAATGCATTCCAAATACGTTTCAATTGCAAAACTCTAGCTCAGACCGTGAACTATACCTTTAAATTAATCTAACAGTTTTGTGCCCAAAGCTCTTAAGTACACTGCCTTTATTAGGAGCATTCACTCTGGAAACTAAAGCAACTTGTATAAAGCTGTATTAAAGATAAACTAACTGAACTTGCTTTGTGTACCTGTGTTTTTTTTAACGAGGCCTATATAGTGTCAATCAGCTTAAGGAAAAGGATAGTACTGAAACCTGAAGGAAATTTGGAAGTTGCGTAAGCTTTCGTGACTTAGTGATCTAAGGTTCAATAGGAGTTAGAGGCATTAGGATAACTAATGACATTTTTACGTTGGTTCTAAATTCACTCAGGAAGCTTTTACTACTATATTCCCAGCTGTATCCAAATGTTATAAAACTTAAACAAAATTAAAGCATTTTACTAACTTATAAAACAAACTGTCATCCGCGCAAAAAAAAAGAAAAAGCCTCGCTAACAAAGATGGAAGCAACATAAAAGGCGAAAGTAGGCCTTAGATAGGTCACTAGATAAAATGCACGTCATGAATTTCTAGACAAGAGTTTAAAATTAAAACATACGCGTTATGTGCCTTCATCCTTGATACGTGAAAGATGTAAATAGCAGACAAGACGCCTTTAAAATTTTTTACGAAACTGTTAGTTTGCACTTTATTAGTTTTTAATAATATCCGCTCATATTAAGCTTCTGTTAAAGAATAGTGGTTATTTAAATCGCTTAAGTCAAAGTTAACGAGTGCGTCTCTGTATAACAAGTATTTGTCTTCACTAAAAAAAATTTCTGAGTCCTTCTTAAGATTCTTATTAGACCGTAACCTTTTTGTTCGCAGATTGCTGATAAAAAAGTTATTATTACTTGAGTGCTTTTTGCTCAAAAGAAAGAGTCGTAAAAGAATAAAAACGATAGTAAACACGACCCAATAGTAACAAATTTTAAATTTAGTTTACTTTCAACCAAACAACGTAAATATTCATCTACAAAGAAGAGAAAGAATAAAGTCTAATGACACCTTTTAAGGAAAAAACTTCTTTTAAAACGCAATAACGTCCGCAAACTTAATGCGTTCCAGTTTTCGTTTTCGTTAATAAAAATCGAAATCAAGTTTATACAAAAAAAAAAGGCTGGACAAACGAGCTTCGGCCGACGCAAAGAAGCCTCCTGTAAGAGAAAAAGATAAACGTTGTATGCACCGAACTACTCTCTTTGTAAAACGAATGAAAAACAGAGCAGAAGTCGTTAAAGACCCCCTTAACTAATAAAAATTTAAAAACAAGAAACCTTGTTAAAGTTTTATATTCTAAAATAAGGAACAAGTCTCTAATGAAACTGAGGACTTCTGGTGCATCCGTAAACCAAATTGACGAGCACCAACCTAAAACAGTCTCATAACCTTTTCAAAAATAGATTAAGTTTGCTATTACTGACAACTTTTTATGTCTATTTCCTCTGAATATCACTATTACATAGCGATAAGTAAACGTAAACGACTTTTATCATTTTTGCTTGTGAGAATAAGTTCTTCTAAAGACAGTTCCTACTATACAATAGTAAGTTCTAGAACCAGTTTAGGAGTAAAAATTGTCCTTCCAATATAGTTGTTATACAAAATTATTTTTCATTATCATAAACTTATTTAAATATAATTTCGAAAACAATTCTAATGCAACACAGCAAAGAGGTTAGTGAGAGCGTCTACTCTACAAATTTCACGTAAATAAAACTTTCGCAATTATAAAACCACAAAATTGCTACTACTAATTTAAAGTTTAACGCATACTTATTATACTTAAATTTAACAAATAAAAAATTAAAAATGCTATCAAAAAAAAACTTAACTTAATTCTTTTAGAAAATAGACAATAATAAATAGTCTTTATTATAACAAAGTGATGTTGACGCTGGACAAAGCATCTACAGCCCAAGCTGGATACTTATTATTGGGATATAAATCTTTCATAAACTGAACAACAAATTCTGGAAAAGTATCGCTGATGATACTTTCACGAATTCGAGACATTAAATTTAATTGATAGTGAAGATTGTGGATGGTAATCAAATGCTTGGCCACTTCCTCGTTGAAAATGCTGTAGAGATACGCTCGAGTGTAGTTTTCGCTAGACAATAATAACGTCAAAAATGAAAATAATAGTAAAGTTATATAACCATTAAGCACTCTTATAAAATATTATATACTTAATTTAATTATGTATTAACTAAATATAATTATTAGTTATCATTAAGAATTTAAATAAAACAATGTTTAAAAATTAAATTAATTAACTTTCACATAAGGAAAAATCAAATTTTGCTTAAAAAAAAATTTAAAACTTAATAGATGAGGAAAATTTAACTAAACTTGAATATAAATATTCTCTTTATTATTACAATACCACGTAAAACAAGAACAAGAGGCTTCAATGGGTACAAAGTCCACTTGATTTTTCTTTTGCGAAAGATTTATGGAGCCCGTGCTGGTAAGCGCCACTCCAAATCTCTTCTATATATAAATATTTGATAATAATAATAATAATAATCAGTAGTACAGCCGTTCTGGTGGGAAATACGCAGTCATACATATCCACGCCGAGTGCGGAGCAAACAACCAAGTCGGTGGCGTACCTAATAATATATTAATAATAGTAATGGTAATAATAATAATGATAACAAATAATAATAATAATAAACACCCCACGCCCATGCAATAGCGCGGCTTATCGTGAGGAAGTTCATCTGTACAAAGACTGACAACTTTCCAAAATTGTTGCTTGTCTTCCCCGCCACTTAATCCACCGATAGCGTACCCCGGCAGATTTCTTTTTATCATTTCTGCCCAATAAAAATGCTTCGATCCCGATGGTTGCCACCCAGGAAAATTTACTAACAAAACCTGAAAGGCAAACTTTGCGTAATGAAAGGTCAAGTCCACCTTGAATAATAGCGAACATGCTTTGATCACGTGGCCTTGCGTGTGCGGCTATACAACGATCGAGCCAACGAATCGATCGGTGCATGGCCTTGTAAAATCAGTCAAGCACATGGTAAGAGCGAGCAGAACGTCAGACCTCCTCGACACGTGACCCTGTCGTCAAGCTGGACACAACATCGTCCAACTGCATTATAATATCAGCACCTGAATAATAAGATTATAATAATTAAAACGTTCAACAGTAAAAGTAAATAAAAGAAATATTAATTTTAAAAGAAAAAAGTAAATTTTGCAGGCCAATTATTCGGCCATCAAGCTGATACAACAAACCGGCCAATCAGCGTTCGCAATAACTTTTTTATTATTACATTTACTCATTAGCTAATAGTCAATAACAGGGTATTTTACGCATACAGAGTCTACTCACGTTAACCAATAAACAAGTGCATTATATACGTTCCACAGCCCCCGTAATCTATCTAAGAACTTTTTATGTTCGATTAACCATAATAATTATAATAATAATTACTATTATTAAAATAAAAAAAACCGATTATATTTTGAAGATTAATGCTCTTCTCTGGTGTAAGCATAAGCACCGAGCTATCATGAGGAGACTGAAACTTCACTCCTTCCTTCGCCATTTTATTATTATTATTGTTGTTGTTATTAATAAAAGTTACATTAAAAACTTATTTACTACTAAGAAGTAAAAATTATGAAAGACTTTTATAAAAGAAGTTAAACTGATATATAAGGTAATTAATATTACTTACTTTAATATAATAAAGTTTTTAAGTAAGTACTATTGAAAGGATCTTTTTATAATAATAACTTACATATAATTGTATATTATTATATTTTAATTATTTATTTTTAATTTTATTTCTATTATAATATTTATTTTTATTATTTTATTTTCTCATAAATAATAAAGTTTTTCCATTTTATTAAAAATTTAAAAATGATACAAACCTTAATTTAATAACGTAAAATATTATATTATTAGTGGGGGTAACCAAAGCAAAATAACTTATATATGGTTTTCAATTAAATAATTATACATTAAAAGTCTTAATTTAGTAGTTTAAATAATTTAAAAATTTTTAAGATAACTTCGAAAAATTAATAAAAGTAAGCAAAAAGCCACTTTGACGGAAATTTAAATATATTTACTCAAAAACAAAAGTTAAAAATTTTGTTAATGTGTGAGAAACTAGAAACCTCCGTAACTTCAGAAAGTTTTAACAGAGAAACCATTTGAAAACCTCCACTATCCTGTATTCATTTACGTAACAAAGTAAGAAAGAGAGAAGATTATAAAATAAAATAAAAGTTTTCTTACAGTTAAAAGTGAACGATCCCAGCCCATAAATTTGTGCAAGCCTCCAAATTTTTCTAAAACTTTCGGGCCCTTACGTGATTAGTATAATAAAACTTAAATGAACAGAGGCTATAACTATATTACTTTTTTTGTAAAATACCACAATTATTATACTATAAAAGACTCACAGGACGGTGACCTAAGTGATATGTATTACTTAAGCAAATTTGACAACCAAGATTTCTTAACTGGCAAGAAGTGAGTCCTAAAATCAATAAAATTCTGCAAACTGTACTTTGAAACGGACAGCCTGTAACCTTTCATGGAGCCCTGAGTCCCTACAGGCATAAAAACTGGTGTCTCAACGGTGGAATGGGGAAGATACAACAAAGAGCATCTTTATAGAAGTGTAAAAAAAAAGGAACTAAATCCAAAACTTATTATAAAGTAAGCGCCTCGCTTTCGTTCTACTGCATTTAGCGACAATTTGGAAGTGTAGAGCCTTTTCGTTATTAGTATTTTCAAGCATGCGTAAAAGGATTTTTATACAATTTTTATTATTTAAAAGAAGCTGTTAACACGACGTTTATTTATTTATTTAATAATGGTTTCCTGGTGCTCGATCGTGTCAACAACTTCGAATACACCAGCTCTCAAACAGATTTTTAGTCTTCCACGAGTGCAAATAAAACTTTTATCTTCACACTTGTCCCTCACGTTCAATTTAGACCCACAAATTGGCTTTCAATCATCATGCTAAGAGAGCTTGCCTCCCAGCATTATTGTGCGCCGTCCCACAACCCGTGAGTTCTTCCGCTAGCGTGTTAAGGTATCCATTCGTAGAAGGCGGTGGCATCACTTTTAAAGAGCGTGGTCAGCAGCTCGACAGGTAGTTCGTGAAGTGTATCATAATTGTACACAAAACACGGCGCGTTTGTTAAAGGCGCAGCGGTTTGTTTTGTCGCGCGTGAAGCGAGGACGTTATTGCCAATAAGTCGTAGTTCCAGGCAGGAGAGGCATATGTCATAATCGGCCGGATGCACAACACATGAAGCCTGTGCTTATTGCTCAACGAAAGTTTACTTTTGCTGCATAATAGAGGATCCAGCATCTGGGTCGCTGCCTTGACCTTCGCCGCCACGTAATTTACGTGTGGACGCCACGGCAACGAAGAATCTATGGCCCCCAAGTATTTCACTTGAGAACACTGCGGGATGTCCATGCCGTTAAAAGTTAACGGAGTTGGCAGCGCCTTGCTCTTTGCTGCGTTAATGGAGAGGTCCCACTGACGGCACCAGCTAGCAAGCGCTTCCAGATAAAATTTTAAGTGCTGACTTTGTAAAAACGGGTTACTTAAACAAAGAATAAATTACCGTAGCCTCGGCGTAAATGGCGACCCGCGTGTGAGAGTGGTCCGGAAGAGGGATGTCGCTCGTATAGACCTCAAATAGTAGCGGTGATAAAAGAGAGCATGTGGGATTCCCGCTGTAAGATAGCGAGGCGACTACAGTGCAGCGCCTACTCGCTCGTTGAAAATCTAGCCGGTTTGGTATGTCTTGAGAACTTTTTGGAGGTCGCGCGTTATCGACAAAGCATGTAGCTTGCACAACAGGTCACCAGGCTATACTCGGTCAAAAGCCTTCTCTACAAAGAGAAAGACGGCGCCAGTGGCTTTTTCGAAATTAAAGACTGGCAGTTCACTCGGTTAGGAGAAGAATTTGCTGGGTGGTTGAGCATCCTTTGCGAAATTCAAACTAAAACTCTGGTAAAATTCCACAACCGCCTTCAAATAATTATCACTGCTTCGGCTATCTTACCGACTGCCGACAAAAGACCAAAGTGTCGATAGTTGTGAGGCTCTGATGCCATGCGCGGCGTCTTTAGTAATATCACGGCTACCGCCATTTTCCATCGCCCAGGAAAATAGCTGAAGGTTAACACCGAGTTGACGAGGCTACACAGATGATTCATAACACAGCCTCTGGCAGTTGTTTTAACCTCAGGTTGGTGATGCCGTTAGGGTCGGGGGCATTCGCTTCGGTAGTAATTTGATAACTGATTTAATCTCAAATTTGGTAGACAGCTCCAGAAAATTAGTAGTATCAGACGAGATTAGATTTATGCACAAGGGGAACGATGTCGACGGCTAAGGGTAAACGGCGAGCACTGGGCGGCTAGATGATCAGCAAAAAGTTTCGCTTTGTCTTCATCGATTTCGGCTACGGAGTGGTGGGCGGGTCGGTTGCCAACGATTTCGAACTCGCTTGACAAACTTCCAGAAAGATGCACGAACAATGTCAACAGCTTTCGATACTTCGTTGTTTAACTTATCCCATTAGTAGTTTATAAGCGCTATTAGCTTTTTCCTAATGTGCCGGTGAAGGTTATTAAGCATTAGTTTATCTTCTGCGCGTTGGAAGGCGATGACCACTCGGTAGAGTCGAAGATGCTCACATAATAATATCTTTAGCCCCTGGAAAGGCTTTTGGGGCAATACACAACTTCCCGTGTCGTCGTTGCTTTGCTGTGGACTTCTGTATCCGCGCGTTCAAATTCCGCTAGCACTGTTTAGTTTAGCGAGAGTTTCGAGCGGTGTCGTAGACAGTGGGAGTGCCTTCTCGAGTGATTCGGTGGATTTGTTCCAATTCGTGTAAGATCGGGAGAATGTTCTTATTACTTCCTTTTCGTCGCCCAATTCTAAGTAGGACAGGCAGATGATTCGAGGACATTCCATTCAGCGCCTTAATGGCCGTTGGAAGGCATATATTTTAAAACTCGGCGATATCCAACACGTCCATTTGTACCCGTCTTCCTAGTCATTTGTGTTGGCAACTGAGGGGCCCTAGGACTCTTAACCCGCGTTCCTCAGCATAAGCCTCAAGGATGTAGCCGTTCGGATTTGCAACCCAGTTGTTCCACGCAGGATGTTTACCGCTGCACTAGAAAAGCGTCAAGATTGAACAACGTGAGTGGCTGTCTGGGCGGTAACAGATTGATATTACAGCAATGGGCCTCAGTCTAGCCAGGTTAAGGGTAAATACCACCTGTCTCGATCTCTTGCAGGCCTGGTAATGCTAATAAATGGTGTAGGATGCCTCGCTTGATAAGAATAGCTACCCCTCCACCACTGGATCTGGCGATAGGTCGCAAAGTAGCAGAGGTTAAATAATACATTTGGGTGAGATGTGTTTTGCTAACAGCACAGATATCTATTCTTTCACGTTGCATTAACCCCTGCGACTCATGTTTTCCCTTTCGGACGCCCTCCGCGTTCCAAAGCAGTAATCGGATGTGATTAAGCGTTTGATATTTAAAAGCCAGGCAAACAAATTCTGTCTTTTACGGTTTCTGAAATGGCCGAGAGATTCGTCGTCAAAATAGCTAACAGCTGCTTTAGAGTCGGTGGCGATCGCCGTTCTTGCCAATTTGAGTGAATGAGTCAGCGTTACCTATCTCAGTAAGATTAGTCGCGGGGGGCGCTTGGTAGGGTCTCGCTCTCACACGCGAAGTTTAGGATATGGTTGGGGTAAATGGTAGCCTCCGGAGTGGGCATTGGATGTTGTGGTCGCCGTAGATTGGTCGGCTATTAAAGGCCTTCGTGGGAAACATTCGCAACCCCGGTTGTCGGCGGTATGTGCCTCAGCACAGTTCGCACATCTAGCTGGCGAGTCTCATGTTTTGGTACACTCCGCAGTCTACTGACCACCACCGTATTTACCGCACCGAGTATCGCAACGCAAAAGTTTGCAGCGTGGCCAAAGATCTGACAGCGGTGGCACTGGACAACGCAACTGCTTTTTCGAAGTTCTATTTTGATCAGAACGTAGTCTTCATCTCTAAAAGCTTTTGTCGCTCCATTCTGGGTATACGCATCAGCATTAGTGGTAACGGACGCTTCTTCCGTTCCACATTTGACAGTGTCCTCTGGTGCACCCGTGCCACTCGGAGGGGTGTGATGCCTTGCGTGCGCAGGTTTGACTCGACGGTGGAAATGTCGAGTTCACAATAAATTCCAGGGATAACAAATTTGGTGGCTTGTCTTCTTGATTGCGCATTATCGCTGAGATCACGCGATATTCTTCAGCTGTTGTCGGAAAAATTTTAATTTAGAGAAGCGTATCTCTTGGTTTCGGATCGTGTCACCGTTGGACTGCAAAAGTTGTACGAGAAGGGGCCGGTTGTTTTTCACAAAGAGTAACAAGGTATTTTCTCTTTACGAGTTCGCAGGAGTGGGGGGTGGTGGGGGTGTCTTGCAATAGATGGTCGTTCGTTAATAGGGGTAGTGTCAAAAGCGCTGCCCATCTCTATATCAACGGTGTAGAGTAAAGCTCTTGAGGGCTTCTCTAAGTCTGAAGATTTTCAGGTTGCCATTACCCTTATTGGAACTATTATTTTAGTTATAAGGATAAACTTATTACTATTATTACTACTACTAATATATTTATTTTAATTACTATATATATTATTTTTGCTATAACTTTTGTTGCTAACAGCTATATTATTAATGACTCTATTATGGTAACTATTAGTCATAAGATTATTGCTATTTCTTCTGTTATTCTTAATATCAGTTATTTTACCGTGACTATACTCGTTTTCTGTAACCTTTACAGTCTCGTTATCTTTATCACCACTTCGGAAGCGTCTGGTTGATGTAGAACTTGTAAGTCCGAAAATACATTTTCATTGCTGTTTATATTATCAAAATGCTCCTTTCCCCTTTTAGACTTATTTTTGTCCTGAGTGATTTTAGTAACTTCAAGAAGTTTTGCTTCTGTAGAATTTAACTCTTTCTAAGTTTCATTATAACCAATAAGTTAGTAATAAATGCTCGAAGGACTTCTTCAGGGGAGGGACTGATAATCAATATAAAGATAAAAATCCTTTTTTAAAAGGAAATAGAAATTGAAATAAAAAAATATATATATTTAAAAAAAATAATAATAAAATAAAAATTATAATAGATATATAAGATCTGTAATATAAAGTCATTAATTATAATGAACGTACTTTAGGTTTTCTAATATGTAAATATATTTCAAGTAAATCGCTTTGTAAATAAGCTAAATACTAAACGCAAATCCCAAGAAGATGAGGTGCACAGGTCACGTTCACAGCCCGGCAGTTTTGAATTAAAAAAAAGAATAACTCTACGTCTGTTACTCAGTAATACTTTTAAAGGAGTTTTACTTTTTAGTACTACTCCCTCTCGCCACGCGCTCTTTCGGCTTTAACTTCTTTAGAACCATTTTAGACCATAAACTTATGAACTGCTGAGTTTATGCATTGCAAAGATTTCAAACTCATTAGTTTTTTATAAGGTTAAATACGGCGTATATACCAAATGAAGTTTATGAAACGTAATGTTTTTATTAAATATTTCTAAATTACATACGGTGTTCCTGAAAGGTTATTAGTCACCGTAAGATAAGTCATCATAACATTAATTGCTTGTGTTTAAAGTTAGCAGATTAAGTTAATTATTGCTTAATTGTAAGTAAATGTTAGCCGTCTTAAAATTTAGTAGCAGTGTTTGTTTATACTAACAGGTTCTATATAGTGGTCAATAAAAGATACAAACAAAATGCTTTACCGAAGGTGGAAAAGCGAATTAGTCTCACTTTGAGGCTGCGTTGGTACCGGCGGTTTATAACATGATAACAATACCCACACTAACTGCATAGCAGAGAAAATACTACATAACCTCGAGGCAGCCCCTCAAAAACTATAGGTGTTCCAACAAGGTCAGTGCATTTTACTGAAACTAGTGTTTGTATTAAAACAAACAATTAAATATGATTCACAGTAAACCTAGATATCTTAGATTAGTTTATACATATTACCTTAACAATATTT